TTTTGGATTGGTCACGCGTTATCGATTAATGCGATAACGAATGAAACTGCCCACACATGGATAGCTTTGCGAACGATAATTGTATCTTTAACTGAGAAAATCAACGTATTTAAGTTAAATAATTACGGTAACGGTGATACGAAACATTACGATATCAACAATGTTAACGTTAGTTGAAATTCTAGACTTCTAGACTGAATTGTGACGCGATTAAATAATCGCGCGCTTCAATTTTTTTTTTTCTCTTGAATGTGAAAAATTGTGATAATACGAACGAATAATGCATCATTAACTGATTTATTCACGAATCGACCGGGAACGATCGAAGTGATTATCGCTATAATTATAATTTTCTCATTGTAAACTGATAACCCGAGCACGCATTACGACGATTAGTTTAAGACGAAACTTTTGGCATTTGCGCATGGCGCGAACACGACACTCGTATTTCGTGAGGCCAGCGGTTGAAGTTCGGTTGGACGGAAGTTAGAGTTCTGGTAGACCGTACGTCTACACTTATACCCGTAGTATTTATATACCAACGCTTCTTTACCAACGCGAGCAACACGTATTCACACACTTACACGAACCGTAAGGGATTCGTGAACGCTCGTTAAGAGGGAGAAAATTCTTGGAGAGTGTTTGGAAGAAGCGAGGCGGGAGCGGAGTGACGAGGGTCCGAAGATACAAGCAAAGGAGAGAAATATCCCTAAGTGGAGGGGATGCGGCCAATAGTCAGATTATATGCAGCCTGTTGATTCATTGGACGCAGCAGTAACAGCGGTACTGTATACAACCTCAGATGTTAGAGTCGAGGTGATTGAGCTTGATCGATAATCTCGTTATAGTTGTTTTGTTTCGCGTTATCGGTGTTTCGTGACCGAAGAACAAGCTCTCCTCCTCTCTCGGCCATCGTGGAAGGAATCGTGGCGAGTGGTGTGAACGGTGTGTGTGAAACGTAAAGTAAGTCGATCATGTATCGCGGTATTTTATTGTCATTCGGCCGCCTAGTAAACGATACACCCGTTTACATTTTCGATGAGAAACGTTGGAAACGTGACAAAGGATAGTCACGTGTCAAAGTTCGTGTCAATGGTTGCCAACTATCGTTCGATCCGTAAATTGTCGTCGTCGTCGTCGTCGTCGTCGTTGTCGCACGTTCATTCGGTATATTGGTAAAGTTTATCCGAGTTTAAGATTCGTAACCGATAATAACAATAATATTAATAATAATAATAATAACGATAATCGGGTCACAGGATACCACGTGTCCACGAATATTTATCTCGAAAGGAAACCGAAATATTTTAACGAGGAAACAATTTGTCGTTGGCCAATTGCTCTGTGCCGAGAGGAACAACTGTGGCGCGAGAACACAGGCGTCGCGGTATAACGAAAAATCTGTGATTCGCCGATAATTCTCGTTGCCCTTACGAAATATCCGGGACAGGGACGAGCAATGGATTCTTTTTTTATTTTTTTCGAATAACCTTCCGCGCGTATACGATACCGCGTTATCTCTGTGTAATGCGAATTAGCGTAGAAACGTGAACGGAAAAAAAAGCAAACTCGATCGGGAAGAAACGAAAGGTCAAGCGATGACACCGAGAAACGAAAACAGAAGATCCCCGAGCGAATTCGAAAACGATAGAAAAGAACGTATTCGATTCGTGTCTTTTGTCGCGATATGAACCATATTACACCATAGTGAACCGAGCTTTCCTACACGACGAAACGTGCTGCTGAATTTTCGCTATCGCTTTCGTATATATACGTATATATATACACACAAGTATTACACATACTATATATTTGTTACGCTCGATTCTCGCGTTCAATTACCTTATTTTGTCTATCGGTATAGCACTGTACGCCTCGAAGTTGGCGATCGTCGAAAGTTTCCCAATACATCGAGGAATAATATCGCGCGATTGTAAGATGGAAAATGGATAAATGGAGATACGTGAAACGTCCGATTATATGTGCGATGAAAATTTCGAGAAAGAACGCAGAATGATAAAATGCAACGAGGAAATGAAAAAAAAAATGTTGAATCAAAAAAACATGGCTGGAAAAATGGTAAAAATACTTTGAACGATACTTTGAGCATGAACGTGTGACGATCCTGTAAAAAATTAATCAGAAAAAAAAAGTCGTAAACATAACGCGTGTCTCTGTGCAATTTGTAGATATTTGAAAAAAAATTTTTTGTCAAAGATCAAAGTTATATGCAATTTTTTCGCTGCATCTCGCTTCATCAAAAATTTATTGGGAAAATTAAATGTATTGGGAAATTATGTAAAGCATACGGAACATCGATGTGAATAAATCAATCGAATCGTTTTTCACGCAGTCATCGTAGAATAAGATTTATTATTATATTTCTATTTATTGCGACGCGTAAATTTTATTTATTACTTAAATGATATTCGGATTGTAGGAATTTATATAGAATATTATAAAATTAATTATCGCAAATACGTCATGAAATTTATATTTTCTCGTCCATTTTATAAAATACATTTGTTTTCTTTTTTTTTATTGTTTTTTATTGCAATCTTTTATTATTATATATATAATAAATTGCATAATTATTTTCCTAATATAACGCATTTTTTTTCAAAGAAACTTAATATTAATAAACGCTTGTGCGCGTTTTAAAATTTTTGCTTCAGCTGCATAAAATCGTTATAATATAGATTAGATTATGAATCGTGTTATTTTGTTTCATTTTTATGGACAATTGTGCGTCGCGTTTCTTAGAATTAGTTTTCACGAATTTAAACCGAAGGCGAATTGACGAAAGAAAAGAAAAAAAGAGCGATCGATTAGCAAATGAACTTGAAATGAAAATGATAATCGTAAATTCAAACGCGTAAATACAATTCCAATTTGAGACGAAAAAGCGCATTATAGCGATAATGATTCTCCAAGTTAAATGTCGGATAGCCATGAGTTCAAATTCTCAACGGTTTTTACGATCACGCGGTTCCCTCGCAGTTTACAGCGTAACGAAGTTGTCGTTTCCAACTGTCGGCAAACGCATCGTGTATATCACGGAAGCACGCGAAGTATGAATCACACGAGAGAAAAGAGCGTAAGGAAATAGCTCAATGACTGGTTGATTAGATAAATTTTATGCTTGCTTCAGATTTCGTGGTGTGAAGGAGGAGAGAGAAGTAGCGAAGGAAGAATCCAGCGCCGGATTCGATCGACGAATACACCGCCATTCTCAATCGTCTAAGGAACGACTTTCCACGTGCACGAGCTTCGTTCACCATGAGGCCTTGGACCAACAAGTCCCTCGGCCTTGGTTTTCTCGGCTTACTTCTCATCGTGTCGGGCGTTATTTTTTATTTCACTTCGTCCAATATTTTTCATTACATTCTTCAAAAGGTGAGTTTCAATTTTCGCCCAATATAATAATTTTTTTTCGTAATTATTTAATTTTTACGTGTAAACAGGTAAATTTTATTTCTTTGTTGAATTTAAATTAATCGTTATTTCATTTCATTAAAAATTTACGTCGTGTAATCGTAACGCTTTAATTTTTCCCAATCGAGAATCGAGAGATAGGATAGTCTATTTTTATCTCTCTATTGCTATATCTCTACACTTAATCGGCGAGATTTTATTTCCCGTTTCGATCGACAAAATCGAAGATAAAAATCGTTTCTCTTCTCGAATATTTTCGATGGATCGAATTATCGTAACAAGGGATCTATGAAAATAGCAATAGGGAGACTTTCTCGACGAATATTGTTAGTCGGTAGTCTCGGTTGTGTCTCGTCTTTATTCCCAACGCGATTAGAAAAGTGGTTGATTGTTCAATTAATTGACGTATCTCTTTAGAGTTGCGCTAGACGAATAATTTTTCATTGCGAAGAAACGTGCATAGCGTACACAGCTCCGGCCAGTAAAGGTCGCGCTCGTTCACAACAAACAACGTATTTTTAATCTTTCAACGGACTTGTGTAAATAACGATTCGCTCGTTATTCATGGCAATTTAGAAAGCATGTTAGCGCGATCTTTGATGGCGCTTTGATGAAAAAAAAAAAAAAAAATTACAATTTTCTGTTCTATATGTATTGTCAGGAAATACCGTTAACGACAACATCGAAAGCGTTCGAAGTGTGGAACGACACGAGCGGCTTGCCACCAATGTATTTTAAAATTCATTTCTTCAATTGGACCAATCCAGAGGAATTGAAGACGCCTGGGAAGAAGCCCAATTTCGTCGAGCTCGGTCCTTACGTGTTTCGGTAAGGCTTGGTTGGTTTACACGTACTATATATAATCGACGCAACGATTGGACAACGAAGCGAGTTAATAATAAAAAACGTAGCGTCGAGCGCGTGGTATCGATTAATTATCATCATTCGTTCCGAGTTGTCGCGGAAATCGAAGAATCGAAAGGAGAGGAGAGGTGGGGGAAAGGGGGGGGGAGGGAACAAC